CACTGGGCCTCTAGTTTACTTATAATGTGAAAAGGAATCACAAGAAATCCCTAAAGCTTTGGAGCTTAAGTTCCCTTTTCCCTTCTGCGCTCTCCTTAGACAGTTGACCGGAAAAGCTTCCACAGTAAGTGTGGAGGAAAAGGGCCACATGGAACCTGACAAGCTTGGGGAAGGCCTGTGTGGCCGCCTTGCAAACTCAGAGACCTACAGTCACCACAAAGGGTGGTTTGAAGTTAAGACATTTTAAACTATAAAGCTGTTTATGGTGGGTAGTCATGTCCCAGGCCAGTATCTTCCCTGACAAAGGTCAGTCTTTACCTCAACTGAGCATATTGTCTTTTTGCATCGATGATAACTTATCGTTGGAATGTCAACGCAATTTTCCTTTTCCCAGAACCCTCAGAGCACAGGCCCCGCTCTGCGGAGACCACAAATCCCTTCGTTGTTACTGAGTTCATTGTTGACTGTTAACTATCCTGTACCCACCTAGGTGAAAGGACATGTCTATTCTTTTCCGTTATATCCAGTCCCAGAGGTTTCCCTGCTTTGCTTTCTCCCACCTCCCTAATCTATCACCAATGGATTTCATGGAACCCACTTATGCCTCCTCTTTCGACTGCAATGCATAAACTAAGATGCAAAACCGCCCCTCTCCAGAGCATCATCTCAGTCCGTTGAGATTCTGTTTCCTGGCAGTTGTAGGCAGTTTGGCTCCAATAAACTCACGGAAATTCTTCTCAGGTTTGAATGTTTCTTACGTGAACATGAAAGCTTCCTGATGGGAACCTGGCTTTTCCTCCTGCCCAGAGAGCTCCCCCTCCCAGGGCTGGTGTCAGGGAGGGGCCTGCCGCTTGAGCTTCTGTGTGTTCCCAGGCTTAGTGAGTGGGAGGCAGTGTTCAGGGGAGTCTCTGGACCCCAGGGTGGGGGGGTAAGGGGAGGGAGGCTTCTCTCTTCAGAGCCAAGAGCTGTGAGGGTGGGAGTGGCATCCCAGTAGGAGTGACACAGGATTCTTTTTTAAAAAAATATATTTTATTGATTTTTTTATAGAGAGGAAGAGAGAGGGGTAGAGAGTTAGAAACATTGAGAGAGAAACATCGATTAGCTGCCTCCTGTACACCCCCTACTGGGGATGTGCCCACAACCAAGGTACATACCCTTGACCGGGATCGAACCTGGGACCTTTCAGTCCGAAGGCCGACACTCTATCCACTGAGCCAAACCGGTTTTGGCTGACACAGGATTCTTGACCTATTTCAAGAAGCTGTAAATATTGGCCTGCATCTTCTCCTCCTATAGTTTTATGATTTCATGTGCTGTCTTTGTTAGATCTAGAGTTTAATTTGGTGAATATTTTGAAGTAGGAACCCAATTTATTATTGTCCCCCCCCCCCCAAATCTTAACCAGTTGCTTCAATACCAATTATTGGAAAAATTGTAAATGTTCAGTTGTAGGCAGTTATTTTCATTTTTGACATACTAGCAAATTCTTAGTAATTCTGATAGTTTTTCCATTGTCAGGCCTTTTTTAAAAAAAAATCTAATTTCTACTTTTTGAAACTTGTTTTTGGAGTGGTGTCTGATTAATAAAATGCTATGATGACTGGCCCATAGTCGTGGGAAGTGGCCAGGGCAAGGTGACCTGATCATTGTGACCTGACCAGGCAGGATTGCTGATCATAATAATTATGACTGAACAAAGCAGGGGAAAGGTCAGGATACTAAGAACTTGTGGAATTTACTGCAAATCATAGAAAGTCTGACCCAGTGTGAATCACACCATGGATCCAATCACATATCCTGACCTGACATTGAACTTGGCCACAGCCCTGCCCCGGTACCCAGCTGCCTGTTAGGTACCCCGCCCGCCCTGCCTGACATGGCACATTGGTTACCCAGGGTTGTTTAAAGGGATGCTGTGCCCGGGGTGAACTTGTTCTGCCTGCGCTTCCCTGAATAAAGGACCGCAGCACACCGAACTCCCAGAGAGAAGCACAGCTTTCAGGGATTTCCCGGACGTTGGTGTGTGCTGCAGGACCTTGCCTTCCAATGTGCAGCAGGTCTGAGTTGGTCCCGGTCTGTGCCTGCCAGAAAGGCTGCACAGAGACCCAGATCTCCAGCGTGGGCAGGCAGGCCTGGCCCGGGGCAGCAGGTTGCTCAGGCTGGGCGGTGGCATGGTCCTGGACCCCGTGGAGGTAACCTGAGACCTGCACCCGTGACTTATGGGAGGTTTAGACGCATTTTTCTTTTCTTTTTTTTCTTTCTATTTAATATATATTTTATTGATTTTTTTCTGAGAGGAAGAGAGAGGGAAAGAGAGTTAGAAACATCGATGAGAGAGAATCATCGATCAGCTGCCTCTTGCACTGATCGCAACCAAGGTACATGCCCTTGACTGGAATCAAACCTGGGACCTTTCAGTTCGCAGACCGACGCTCTATCCACTGAGCCAAACCAGTTTTGGCCAGACCCAATTTTCCTGAACATTGCTTACACCCCTGGGTGCACTAGTAAGTGCTCCCCTCCCGGGGAACCACCAGGGGGAAGACCGCAAGGGGCCTGGCTGGGATCTTACAGGTGCAGGTGTGTGGCAGAGGGAAGTGTCCCCCTCAGGAGGAAAGTTTGGGGAACCTGTTGGGGGGGTGCTGGGAGCCATTTTATATCTAACGAAGAAGAGGCCCCAGGAAGGGAAGTGAGTTAGTTTGCCAGCTCATGAGCAAACTTTCTGATCTGTTCCAGGCCCAGGGCCTGGCAGCCAAAAGCAGGGAGAGGAGAGACGGCCCGGCCCGCCTCAAGCAGCTGCTGGGCCCGGGGCAAGGAGACCACTGGAGGCTTCCATTCCCCGTTTCTAAATAAATATTTCATCAACAGTGTGTTTCAGTTACAATTAACTTTCAGCGTTATTCTGTATTAGTTCCAGATGTACAGCATTATGGTTAGACAGCCATGTGCTTCACAGAGTATAGTCCCCCAGATATTATGAGTGCCCACCTGGCCCCTGCCGAGTTATTTCAGTGTTATTGGCTATGTTCCCGATGCTGGACTTGACATCCTCATGACTGATCTGTAACTACCAACGTGTACTTCTTAGTCCCTTTGCCCTTTTCACCCAACCCCCAATCCTTCTGCCCTGTCAGCCATCAGTCTGTTCTCTGTATCTATGAGTCTGTTATTATTTTGTTTGTTTGTTTATATTTTTCTTTAGATTCCACACATACATGAAATCATATAGTATTGTCTTTCTCTGCCTGGCTAATTGCAGCAAAATGAAACAAATACCTCAAAGTTATAAGACACCCTTTGTATAAATCCAGTTCTATGCTCCTTTCTTAATAAATATACCGTCTTAGCATCCTGGGCAGCCAGATTCAGATTTAGAATTCTCAGACTCCTCGAGTTCCTTGTCCAGAATCTCCCTGCGGTACATGTTGACATCCCTGGCCATGGGTCCCAAGTCTGTCTGCACCCTCTGCTGACAGGCTCCATTGTAGGAACTGGAGGAAGGGTACCACCTTTGAGAGCTTGGACCAGGCAAGCACTGAAGCAGGTCCCAGGGACCTGTGGTATGGTCTAGAACAGTGGTTCTCAACCTTTCTAATGCTGCAACCCTTTAATCCAGTTCATCATATTATGGTGAGCCCCAACCATAAAATTATTTTCATTGCTACTTCATAACTGTAATTTTGCTAATGTAAAATTGTAATGTAAATATCTGTGTTTTCTGATGGTCTTAGGCGACCCTGCTAGCGGTTCTCAACCTCTGGGTCACAACACAGGTAGAGCTTAAGACAATTGGAAAACACAGATATTTACATTACGATTCATAACTGTAGCAGATTTACAGTTATGAAGTAGCAATGAAAATAATTTTATGGTTGGAGCTCATCACAATATGAGGAACTGTATTAAAGGGTTGCGGCATTAAAAAGATTGAGAACCGCTGGTCCAGAAGATGGGGCGGGGTCTGGGTAGGCACATCCCTGGAGCTCCATGGACGTGGTGTAGCTGGAGGAAGTGTGAGCAGGACCCTCTCAGCATGGTGCCCAGGGCATAGGTTCAGCCCTTGCCCAGCCTAAGATAGATAGGGCTAGGGATGAACATGGGAGGAGTGAATGGAGCGTATGGGAGCTTGCAACCCCATCCAGAGCAGGTGAGGTGCTGTAAGGGGTGAGATCAGGCACCCCAGCACAAGGGCACTGGGAAGGTCCAGATTGAATTTCTAATAATTATTAGAAATGCTCTTTCCCCTTCTGGACTGTGGGTAATTCATGTGCAGAATTAGCCCATATCCGATGTAGATCCAGAGCACGTGTCCTGCCCTTGTCGCAGACCCTTTCCTTCCCAGCGCCCAGGTCTTCCTCAGGAGGTGGCCTTGGCGGTGGTGGTAGCAGGTCTGCTGTGATGAAAGGAGCCAGTAGTGGGGGTGGAGGCGAGTAAAGGGCAAATGGCTTCTCTCTCTCTGCTGCCCTCCCCTCGCTCTGCTCTCACAGATCTGCTGGGCTGGCCCTCCTTCTTTGCCCCAACTCCCCACACCCAACCAATACCTGTCTTTCCACCTCATTTCTTTCCTCATTTTCTGTTTCTATTTTTTGCCTGAGAATTTCTTAGTACCTGATGGTCGGTAGTGGTGGCTTGGCAAGGACAGCGGGGGCTGCCCCAGGAGGTGGGAGGCATCCCAGCGAGCTGTGATAGCACTATTGTAGAACTATATATATTCAGGCATGTTACAAGTTAATCAGGCTTCTGAGGGTTGACATGGAAACCCAACCATCTCTAATAACATAATTTCTGGGGTGAAGTACCTTCCCAGTTTCAAAGAACTGATGTGCAAATGAACTTTCAGAACAAAACGTGCCTGTCATGGTGGCTGCTATTTTTAGAAGTTTGGCTCTGAAAGGGGCTGCTCTGTGTACGTCAGTAAATGAATTAAATCTAAACTGGTGTGTGGGGCCCCTTCTCGTTCCACAGTGTCTGATTTTTGTCCATCTTCCTCATTTTAACAGGCCGGGAAACTGCTGTCAGAGACTGTGAGTGGAATTATGTAAAACAAAACACAAAGCCGAGAGTGGAACCGGGCCTCGCACCCCCGTTGCTTCCATCTTCTGTTACGATCAGGACGCAGGTAGGTGTGCCATTCTGGTTGTCGGAGGGTCAAACCCCAGCATCTGTTTGGGGGTAGGTGGCTCAGGAGGACATGCAGGGGAGCGTGGTGGCCTTGAACCCCAGGGGATGCTGTTGGCACTCACCTGTGCACCCAGGAACCGCAGTACCGCTCGCACGTGTTAGATTTCATACTCATGCTGATGACCATGTTAAAACGAGACCGTATTTGAAGAGAAGGAGCAAGAACCAGCTTTTTAGCGTTTAAAAGTGGCCACAGAGGTTATCAGCTCAACATTCTCCAACAGTGTCGTCCTCGGTATTAAAATGAGATTGATCTGTATGTGGCATAAATTATTGTGTTTTTTTTTTGTTTTGTTTTTTTTGTTTTTTTTTTTATGGCTTTGTAGCATTCTTGAATGTTCTTACCTTTAAGAGTTCTAGTGCCTGGAATAGTAACTAGTGTCTTTTAGAAACTGAAGACATTTGTATTCTATGGAACCGTCTGCATAGCATCCACGAGGCTGTTTGCCATCTGTAGTGCAGGCATCGTGACACGTCCGGAAGATAGAAGTGGGAAGCACTGGGCCTGTCTGAGCCAGTTGTGTGGTTTCCGTTCTTGCTTTCCTCGTTGTAATCGCTGGAAACCGGAATTCCCTGTCAGACAGGAGTCTCCTCCTATCTGGTTTCCCTAGCTTCCTGGTGCCTCCTCCTTGATCTGGGGTGTTTTCTGTCACTCCAGAGGAATCTGCTCCCTATTATGAAGAGCTCTTTCATGGGCCAAGAGATGCAGAATGTCTTTTTTGTAAATGTCTTTAAGATTTTTGGTTTGGTGCATTCCAGGAATCACTTTTCATTCTTCTCTGCTACCTGGGAGTCCTTTCAGTGATGGCTTCCTCCTCCGCTTTCCTTTATCTTTTCCTGTTCACCATTAGTCTTGGTTTTTTTTTTTTCTTAAGATGGGGACATGGGAGTATTCCTTAAGATTATTTGCCTTCTCTGATGGGAGCCTGACTTGCATTTATGTCAGATATCGTTAGTAATTGCTCAGCTATGAGGACAGGTAAGACAATTCTTTGTCAAGTTGAGCTGTATTCCCCCCCCCACCCCCCCCCCTCCCGCTTCTTCTAGAACAGTTTCTGTGTAGTCACTGGTTATCTGCAGAATGACCTGTCTGGAGTCTTCCTCTCTCATCCCTGACCTTTGTCTGTTGGCTAGGTCTCAGTATTTCACACTAATTCTCACCATCTATCTGATCTCCAATAGGCTACTAAGCAAATACACAGAGACCTCTTTCTGCCTCCTGTCCGTACCTTTGGCCCCGAATGCTGGTATTAAGATGAAAGTGATTGTCTAATATTTGGGATTAGTCCCGAGGCAATGACTTTGGAAGTGTGTTTTAATGTAGCTGAGCAGTGGGGTATAATGTTTTTCAGACAATTTGAAAATGTTAATCATCTGTCACTGAACATTTCCGACAGAAGAATTCCTTACCTCCTTGCTGACTTGTTTCCACCTTTCCCCATCACATACTCTCTCACTCTTCAAAGCGACTTTTCACACCTGTTCTTTTCTCCTCCTCGGCATCTCCTCATCCTTCCTTACGTTGTGACCTTGTTTCTCATTTCACTGGTGATGAGAACACTTGAAGACAGTGACTCTCTGCCCTTTCAGTGCTAACACTACAAATCCACCCCCCACATCCTTCTAGATTTCAGATTTCTTTCCTCCTAAGCCAACATACTCACCCCTGTCCGAGGCCTGCCCTTCTTGCTCTGGATTTCGTCTCCTCGCATCTACCTAAGGGTATTCCTCTAAAGTGGATCTTTTCCTCCCCGAATCATTAATTCTTCCTCTTTCCTGGGTCAGCCCCATCAGCATGGGCTGATAGAAATATCTTCTCTCTTAAAAAATGTGCTCTTGAATTAACTTCTCTCTGTAGCTATCACTCTTTTAAAAAAAAATTCTTTATTGATTAAGGTATCACTTATTTGTCCTCAAATCCCCATTCCAACCCCCCACCCCACTCCACTCATGCCCCCACCCCCCTATTGTCCTCGACCACTGGTTAGGCTCATATGTATGCACATACCGTATTTTCCGGCGTATAAGACGACGTTTGAAACGAAAAAATGTCAACCGAAAATCAGGGGTCGTCTTATACGCCGAGTATCCCCCCAAAAACGTCTCGATATGCCGCTAAATGAATTTTCCAACTCGATCCCGAAAATCGTCTGGATATGCCGCTAAACGAATTTTCCAACTCGATCCTGCACCAATAACTGCAAGGCTGCTCGGATCGCCTCTCTAACTCAGCCAATTCTAGCAGGCTTTTTATGCATGCAAATTATACATGTTCTGTACCCGAAGCTACACTGTGTTCTAGTAAAAAGCCTGCTCAGATTGGCCAGAGTCAGAGAGGTGGTCTATTAAAAAAAGAACTGGTGTTGCCTCGGAAGTGGGGGGTAGTCTTATACAGCGAATATAGGCCTAAATCTATGTTTTAACTGTAAAATTAGGGGGTTGTCTTATATGCCGGAAAATACGGTAAGTCCTTTGGTTGATCTCTCCCTTTTATCCTCGCCCTCCCTTTGAGGCCCATGGCTCCTTATCTCTGGGTCTGTTCTTGTTCACCATGTAGCTATCACTCTTTTCTCCTCCCCTTTATTGTAGATCTTTCAAATGAATAACTACAATCTTCTCTCCCTCCCCTCCCTCCCTCCCTCCTCCTTCCTTCTTTCCCTCCCTCCTTTATTCCTCTGGCTTTTGTCCCCACCACTTTACAAACAGGTATAATCAAGGTCACTAATAACTTGTATGTTGTCAGATCTAATAGTCTGTTCTCAGTCCTTATCATACTTGGTTCATCTTCAGCATTTGGCACAATCCTTTACTCCTTTCTTCTTGATTTTCTTCCCTGCTTTCAGTACTCAGCCTCTCGGCTATCAGCCTTTCAGTTCTCATCCTGTCTTTGTTGATGGTTTCTCTTCTTCTTGCCAATGTCTCAATCCTGGACATCCCTAGGCTCAGGTGTTGAGTGCCTTCTTTTCTCTCTTCACTTACTTTACAGATGTTCTTATCTAGTTCCATCCTTCTATGTCTTCAAATACTTACTTTTGGTCTTAATTTCATTACCTGCTCCTTTTTATACAACAATGCTACCTATTAGATTTTTTGTATTGTTCCATAATTTTTTATAATGTTCTTTCTGTTCTTCAGATTGGGGAATTTCTATTGATCTTCACATTTCCTGGCTTTTCCATTCTGCTTTTGAAATGATCCCATGAGTTTTTGATGATAGATATTCTGGTTTTCAGTTCTATAATTTTCATTTGGTCCTTATTTATAGTTTCTGTTTCTCTGCTAGGAACATCTATTTGTCCATTCATTTTGAGAACATTTACCTCATGGAACATAACCATAAAAGCTGCTTTAAAGCCTTTGCTTGAAAATTCTATCATCTTGGTCATATTGAGTTGGCATCTATTGATTATTCTTTCCCTTGGGAACTGGTCACAGTTCCCTGGTTCTTTCTGCATTGAGTAATTTTACATTGTCCTGAATGTTGTGAATATTATGTTTTCTATTCGTTGAGAATGTTGTTGTTGTTTTTGTTATTTTGTTTGTTTTGATGTAGACCACTCTCTGTCTCACCCTCTTTGAGTGGAGGTTCCAACATAGTTGACTTTTCCAAAGGCTCTGCTTTCTGTTCTATGTCTGTCCTGACATGTGCCCCTCAAGGATGAACTTGAGACTTGGGTGGGTCCAAGTGTAGAAGTGGAGAATCCCCTTCCCTAGCTCTCTCCTCTCTGTGGTTCACTCACACCTTTTGGCTCACAGGAGAGATACAGATGGGGTTTCTGTCTGAGATCTATCGGACTGTGGACCTTTTATGTGAATGGGCTCATTCTTGGGGCAAAGCAAGGGAGAAGGAGAAGAGAGGGAGAGGAGAGGGAGAAAGGAATTAACAATTTGCAGGTTGCTTTCCCAACTTTTGTTTCCTTTCTACATTCTGCTTTTTTCTCCCATTTTTTTTATTGCTGTAAAATACGCATAACATAAATTTACCTTCTTAACCATTTTAAGCATATAATTCAGTAGTATTAAATACATTAATAATGTTGTGCAGCCATCACTACCTCCCTCTCCATAGCTCTCTTCATCTTGTAAAACTAGAATATTTTTATCTTATAAAACTAGAATCCTATACCATTAGATAATGACTGCATTTCCTCTTCTTCCCCCAGGCCCTGGAAACCACCATTCTACTTTCTGCTTCTATAGTTTTAACTATTCTAAGTATCTCATATAAGAGGAATCATGCAGTAGTTGCCTTCTTTAGTGACTGGCTTATTTCACTTAGGATAATGTTTTCAAGGTTCATCCACATGTCAGAATATCCTCCCTTTAAAGGCTAAGTAATATTTTATTGTATGTATATATCACATTTTGAATAACTATTCATCTATCGATGGACACTTGTGTTGCTTCTACATTTTGGGTACTTTGAATAATGCTTCTGTTAATATGGATGTACAAATACCTTTTTGAGACCCTGATTTCAATTTTTATATGTACATTAATAAATGCTGGATCATATGGTAATGCTAATTTTGTATTTTTAACTTTCTGAGGAAGTAACATCCTTCCTTCCTTCTTTCCTTCTTTCCTTCTTTCCTTCCTTCTTTCCTTCCTTCCTTCCTTCCTTCCTTCCTTCCTTCCTTCCTTCCTTCCTTCCTTCTTTCCTTCCTTCCCCTTTTTTATTTCTATCCTCACCCAAAGATACTGATTTTTAGAGAGAGAGGAAGGCAGAGAGAGAGAGAGAGAGAGAGAGAGAGAGAGAGAGAGAGAGAGAGAGAGAGAGAGATTAATAGGTTGCCTCTTATATGCCCCCAATTGGGTAATGAACCTGAAACCTGGGTATGTGCCCTGTCTGGGAATTGAACCAGCAACCTTCCAGTGTATGGGACAATGCTCCAATCAGCTGAGCCACACCAGCCAGGCCAACATACTCTTTCCCAG